CCCCCTTCTCTGTATTTGTTTGTGTGTTCTTCATCTCTTCTTTATAAATTTATTTATTAAATTTATTTATATTTTATTTTTTTAATTCTTTCTCAACAAATTAATACCGCCGTCTGCTGCTGCATGTACACCCCGAGCTGCCTATACACCCCAATCGTAGCCTTCTGCTGAGGGGCCCCAGAGGGCCCCCCACCTTTTGCATGCGGCTGCAGCGATGGAGCTGCTGCTGAGCGCTGCCACTGTGCCCTGCATGCACACCTGCAGCAGCAGCAGCAGCAGCAGCAGCAGCAGCAGCGGGGGCGGTTACAGGGACAAGTGCAGCAGCAGCAGCAGCAGCAACAGCAGCAGCAACAGCAGCAGCAGCAGCAGCAGCAGCAGCTGGAGGGGTTTGAGGGAGGAGCTGCATTCCGTGCCGTTACGGTTGCTGCTGTTGTTGCTGCTGCTGCTGCTGGCTCTGCAGCAGCAGCAACGCGCTGTATGTACACCCCACGCTGCTGCCTCACGAGCAGCAGCAGCAGCAGCAGCAGCAGCAAATGCAGCAGCTAAAAGAATTGGTTGGCCTCCCCAGGCCTTTCTTACCTCACCAAGGCTGCAGCTGCTGCATGCAACGCCAGCAGCAGCAGCAGCAGGAGCAGCAGCAGCAGCACAAACACCTGCTGCAGCAGAAGGAGCAGCAGATAGACATGCAGCAGCAACGGCAGCAGGAGCAGGAGCAGGAGCAGCAGCTGCTGCTGCTGCTGCCTCTCCGTTTGCTGCAGGAGCAGCGCGAAAGTGTACAAGCCGCCTTCAGCTGCCTCTCTTTCACAGCAGCAGCAGCAGCAGCAGCAGCAGCAGCAGCAGCAGCAGCAGACTCCTATCGGCAGCCAGAGGAGCAGCAGCAGCAGCAGCAGCTGGCAGCAGCAGCAGCAGCAGCAGCAGCAGGTTGTGGAGCATAAGAAGATGCTGCGAACCCTTTCAGTGGTTGCGGTGCCGCATAAAGACAGCAGCAGCAGCAGCAGCTGCTGCTGCTGCTGCTGCAGCATCTGGTTTGTTAGCAGCAGCAGCAGCAGCAACTCGGCTGCTGCTGCGTGCTGCTGCTGCTCCTACCTTGCGTAACAGCTTCCTGCTGCAGCTGCTGCTTGTGGGGTGTCTATACACCGTACACTTGCTGCTGATCTCTCCTCATCTGCTGCTGCTGCCGCAGCTGCTGCAGCAGCTGCTGCATGTAGAGGCAGTGCATGCAGACTCTGCTGCTGGGATCGTCGCCCTGGCTATTGCTGCTGCTGTCCTGCTGCAGCAGCGGAAGCAGCAGCAGCAGCAGCAGCAGCAGCAGCAGCAGCAGCTACCCTGGAAGGTGCAGCAGGAACATCTTCCATTTGCTGCTGCTTCTTTTTTTGTTTTTGTTTATCTCTCTTTCTTTCTCTCTCTCTTTCTTGTTTATATTTATTTATTTTTGTTTGTTTTTATTTTTTTGTGTTTTTGTTTGTTTGTCTGTCTTCTTTTCTCTCTGTCTCTGTGTGCTTCCATCTGTTTTATTTTGTTCTGCTGCTGCTGCTGCTCCTGCTGCTGTTGCTGCTGCGGCTGCTGCTGTTGCTGCTGCTGCTGCTGTTGCTGCTGCTGCTGTTGCTGTTTCTGTTGTTGTTGCAACTGCTGCTGCTGCTGCCGTTACTGCTTTTCCTGCTATTGCTGCTGCTGCTGCTGCTGCTGCTACTGCCTCTCCTCCCCTTCCTCCTCATACTGCTGCTGCTGCTGCTGCTGTTGTTGCTGCTGCTGCTGCTGCTGCTGCAGGATCCCCAGGAGAGCCTTTGGCGTTGCTGTCTTGCTGCTGCTGGTTTGCTGCTGTCTTTTTGTTTGTCTGGGTATGCTGCTGCTGCAGTTGAGGTGCTGCTTGCTGTTGCTGCTGCAGCAGGTGTATGTACACCCCAAATAGATATGCACAGAGCCATGCAGGTATGCTGCTGCTGCTGCTGCTGCTGCTACTCCTGCTGCTGCTGCTGCTGCTGCTTTTGCTGCAGTTGCTGCTGGGCTGATGTTAGTACTGATGCTGCCCCTGCTGCTTTTTCTGCCAACGTGATGCTGCTGCTGCTGCTGCTGCCCCTGCTGCTGCTGCTGCTGCCCCTGCTGCTGCTGCTGCTGCCCCTGCTGCTGCTGCTGCTGCTGCTGCTGCTAGTGGCGCTGCTGTTGCTGCTCTTTGTACTGCTATTCCCACTGATGCTCCTATTTGTGCTATCCCTGTCGCTGCTGCTGCTGCTGCTTTTGCTGCTGCTGCTGCTTGTGCTGCTGCTGCTGCTGCTGCTGCAGGTGCTGCTGGGTCACTTGGCTTGGGTGGTTGCTGGGATGTCTTTGCTGCGGGGTCTGCTGCCGTCCTTCAGGCGGCAGCAGCAGCAGCAGCAGCAGCAGCAGCAGCAGTTGAATGCCCTGCAGCAGCAGCTTGCTGCTGCGATGCACGATACTGCTGCTGCAACAGCAGCAGCAACAGCAGCATCAGAAGCAGCAGCAGCAGCAGCAGCAGCAGATACAGCAGCAGATGCAGCAGTCCTCCGCGAAGCAGCAAAGCAAGCGCTGCATGCAGCAGAGCAGCTGAAGCAGCTTCTTAGCTGCCAGCAGCAGCAGCAGCAGCAGCAGCAGCAACAGCAGCAGCAGCAGCAGCAGCAACAGCAGCAGCAACAGCAGCAGCAGCAGCAGCAGCAGCAGGACAGATACAAAGGAGCAGCAGCAGAGGCTCCAAAGCCGCCCCTCGCCTTCTTACGGTCTCAGCAGCAAACGCAGCTGCCCTCTTGTGCAGCAGCAGCAGCAGCAACTACAGCAGCAGCAACTGCAGCAGCAGCAGCAGCACCAGAAGCAACAACAGCAGCAGCAGCAGCAGATGCAGCAAACCCATGGGCTTTCCTCCGGCCAGCTAGGACTGGAATCGCTCGTGCTGCTGCTGTGCTAACAGGGAGGATGAAGCAGCAGCAGCAGCAGCAGCAGCAACAGCAAATCAAGCAGCAGCAGCAGCAGCAGCAGCAGCAGCAGCAGCAAGAATGTTCATCGTGGCAACGG